AATGTTTTGACTTTATCATTGGATATGTAATAAGCAACGCCCATGGTCGAAATCCCAGCAATCAAGCCACTTCATTTTACCTAACAAGAAGTAAAAGAAATATATTATATCGTCCGGGAATTGAACCAAAGCATCCTATTGGCAGATCCGCCATGAAATTTTTCGACATTAATGATTTTTTTCTATCTATAGAGAGACTACGCAAACATTACTTCTGAATTATGATCATGATCATTATATATATTAACTAATCTTCAAAATTTAAAAGGTTTACCTTTAACAAGTAAGTACGTTGTTTTATGAAGCAGCTTAATGAAATTGGAACAGCATGAGAAAGGGGAAATCTTTTTCTATAAATATACGATAATTACTTACATATTTTTGTATTTTCAGATCGTACTTTTCGCTATCTTTGCTTTCGCCGTTGCTGTTCCAGCACCTGAAGCTAAGGCTGCTCCAGAGCCTAAAGCTAAACCAGGAGTCGCCATTGCTGCTCCATTACTGTCTGCGTATAGCGCTCCCCTTGTTGCTGCTCCCGCTTACTCATACGGTTATTCAACGTACGCTGCATCTCCCTATGCCTACGCGGCTCCTTACGCTTACCCAGCTGGTTACTCAGCCCCTATTGTTTATGCATAAGATGTTATTATTGTTGCAATGAAATAAATGACTAATTATCAGTAAATTTGTTGATTATTTTCATTATTCTTAAATGTAGGATTAATTCAGTTTAAAAAAGAATGTATTTTCTTATAAATACACTTTATTTTCTTGTTAATAAGAAACTCTTATAAAGAATATAAATATCCACTTACCGTATCTTTAGCAAGGAACTACGAAATACGAAACAGCCCGCAAAATAAGATCGAATTATTTAGTGTGCTAATAAATGCGTATAATCCAAAATTCTTAGAAAACCATTCGAAAAACTTCACTTAATAGATGAACCCAAAGCTAAAGGAATTATGGGTTTCATTCCTTTCTCTTATTATAATGTGTAAAAGATCGG